CCCCGCCCCCTCCCCCCGGGCGGGCCCGCCCCCCAGCCACTGGAGGAGGCCCTCCCTCCCTCGCCATGTGGCCTCTGTCCCCCCCAAGGCTCCTCCTCACAATGCAGCCTCAGCCCCCTACCAGGGTCCTGGGTCCTCTTCCTTATATTCCTTTCTCTCCCCTGACAGAAGAGGGGCTAAAGGCTCCCTCCCTGACACCTGGTTCCCCTTTCCCAGGCTTCAGCAGAGCTACTGAGCATGCTCAGTAGGCCCTCCCTCCCTCGCCATGTGGCCTCTGTCCCCCCCAAGGCTCCTCCTCACAATGCAGCCTCAGCCCCCTACCAGGGTCCTGGGTCCTCTTCCTTATATTCCTTTCTCTCCCCTGACAGAAGAGGGGCTAAAGGCTCCCTCCCTGACACCTGGTTCCCCTTTCCCAGGCTTCAGCAGAGCTACTGAGCATGCTCAGTAATCCTAAATTCTCCAAGAGGTAGCTGTGTTAGTCTGTAACTTAAAAAAACTAAATGAGTGGTCCTGTAGTACCTTAGAGACTAACTCTCTCTCTCTCTCTCTCATCATGCGCTTTTGTGGGCACAACCCCCTTCTTCAGATGAGTGGAGTCAGAGGGGCACAGAAACTTAAAATTTTAAAGCAAAAAAAGGGGGACAGAGGGAGGAGGGAAAAAACCTGTCCAGTTTCCTCCCTGCTAAATGAAGCTAATGGTGTAGGCTGTGTCTGATCCTTAGCTTTTGATGTAATTTGGGTGTTGAATATAACAGCCCATACAGAAATTATCTGAATCCCTAAATTCTCCCCAAGTAGCACAGTCCAATAGGGAGCCGCTCTGTACAAATATGGCCTGGTATATACAGCCAACTTAAAGCCCACAGCCCCACACACAGTGGATAGGTTGAACCCAAAGTTGTCACAGGATCCAGAACGTCTCGCCCACAAGGCTAGGGAGACAAAGCTCCAATCACAGCCCCACGTCTCTTCGCGTGGGCCAATCAGCGAGCAGGGGACGCACATTTAAACACCCTCACCGGGAGGCAGCCGCGCTGACTCAGATGGCTCCAATGCAATAAGGGAAGGCGGGACGTGTTCCCGTTGCGTTCCAATCAAAGCTCAGAGAATTGTGACAGGCACCTGGGGGCGCCAATCAGGCAGCGGAAGGTGAGAGCTCAGTGTATCTCTTTGGAGCAGTTCGACAGCCGTGCTCTGTCTCGGTGCAGCAGCCCCAGGGAGTTCTCCGACTATTGCCAAGACCGCCGGCTCCTGGAGCCATGGCTAAAGGGAGGCACCCTGACAGGGGGCAGGAGCAG